TTTCGGCTGAGGAAACCTGCATCGAGGATGTCGGTCAAGGTTGCAACAAGCTCGTCACGTCGATTATCTGTGTTTGCGAAGCGGATGGTTCCAAGCTTGCACTCACTCAAATCAATCTTTAAGCCAAGCACCTTAGCAATTGTGTCAAAGTCCGAACCTTTGTCAGCTGCCGTTGTCCATCCAAGGATCATGAAGAGGCCATCTGCGCACAGCTCAAAAAGCTTGGAGAGCACCGGTGTCTCGCATCCAATGAAATCATCAAAGAACACCCCCCAGTGCAGCAGGAAGATCGCCACTCCAATGCTCCATATTGACAATGATGTTCTGCAAAATCCGTGCACGCTTGCACGGGCTCCGAACGGCAAGACATGTTGACCATAAATCTCTGTGCATGCTCGATGAGGGTTCCATATTGACAAGAAAGCGTCCGGTATCGATTCCAAGTGCAACGCAAGGTTTTTATAGGCCTTAGTTAAGTCCCAAGTTCTAACCAATAGTTGCGAAGGAAGTCGATGGGCTCGTAGATGGTGGACCCTGTAAATCATCGCGGCTGCGATGACATCGGCTGAATGCACTGTGATGGTGTCCTCAGAACTAGCTGTAGAGTTCACTCCCGATTCAAGATAATTGTCTATCGGTCGGCATTTCCCGCCTTGGCGGATACCAAATCGACGTGTGACAATCGCGTCCACAGGAAGATCCCTCTCTGAAACCGGGCCAAAAAGCCAACCCCTCTGAAGCTCATCGGATGTTGCAGCAAAGGTGGCCTCGTCCAACTCGCGGTCGCCAGAGCCACGTGTGGAATGTATTATTCCACGCCTCAGCACATGTGCAGCCTTGCGAAGAGCAGATGTGCTGAGAGTCGCCGAAGTCCTCTTTGCCCTATAAACACCCGAGCTGGGAATGGGCCCGCTCAACTTAAAGCCCTCAGCTATGTCCCCCACGATTGTTTCATCGCCATGGCCACTGGCCTCCAACATCTCCTTGAACACCGCGAGCCTCTTGCCCTTCAGAACCTTGGAACAATGGCTTGGCATGCGCTCCTTGAGCGCCACTTCTGTGTCCCGCAACTCCACCGCTCTGCCAACCCACTTGCGAAGCTGTGCAGTGCGCTCAGCACCGACATCCTCGGAGCTCATGTGCACAAGCTTGTCAAGAGTGGTCTTAAGCTCGGGAGGGATGCCAGAGTGAAGGTGTCGTGGGTGCTTCGCTTCAAGGGCCTTACTTATGAATTCATTGGGACTCCACGGGATACCCACTACAACCCTATGCCAATGTTGTTCCTCGGGCCCGGCCGGTGAGGAACAACCATCTGAGGAACCCGGAATCTTAAAGCCAAAGCCTGTCAAGCTTTCACGAACATGATCTGGAATGATCTCCGGGCCCTTAACGACGAAGCCTACAAGGACAATGCGGGGGCCATGTTTCCATGGGGCAGTGCAATGCTTCAAGTGGGAATCAAACCTAATGACCCCATTCCTGAACTCAAGAATATCTCCAAAGAGATCCCCAAACTCAACATCCGGGCACTGCGTGCAGCCTTCCTTGGATTGCACCCACAGCCCCCCTTCGGTGAAGGGGGTGACCTTCACTATGGTGTTGAGGAAGGAAATGGAGTTGTTTGCATCAAGATGGGTCTTGGTTTGGATGTCTTTAAGCAATGCAAGACTGGTAAATGTGGCCTCGGGGGATTGCTCTCTCATGAACCTAGCAAGCAGCTTCGTGGTTTGTGGGAAACCAACAGATGACTTTCTAAGGCCATAGTTACCCCCATGAACAAAGGCTCCCACGGTAAAGGAGAAGGTGTTTGTTTCACAACTACCCCTGGCTGGTACCTCAGATTCAAGAATGTCACAGAACTTTGCAACATCACTTGCCCGCACGCGAGCATGTCCCAGACACTCAGTAGCAAAGGCTTCAGCAGGATGAATGTTGGGGTCTGATGCAGCAGGCTCACCTACGGCATCAACGGAAGGTCGCACCGCCTCGGCATCAACGGAAGGTTGCACCGCCTGGGCATGATGTTCCAGAAGTGCCTCGGTAAAAGACTCGGGGTCATCCTGAGCAGACTCACTCACCCCAAGCACCTGTCGGCGAAGGATTCGAGAGCCAGACGGCAATTTACGAATGTCATGATTGCATTTCGCTCCCGCGGGAAGATCGACATCGGAGGTCAATTTTTTGAAAGTTTGATCAAAGAGCACTTCAGGTGTATCTACAGTGACCACAAGCTTAAACTCACTAACCAACGGAGGGATCTTCCGGCGAGTGGGTTGGGTGCCCGAAGCAACCTGGGCCTCCCGATGAAGCGGAGCTTGGGCATCAGCAAGCGATTGCGGCCGGGCGATTGCACCCAAACCAACAAGTTGCTCAAGGATCGCAGCGGCCCAAGCACGACAAAGGTCCAGGGGATACGATGCATCCTGGACTTTGCTGAAAGACTCATGCACATGACTCTTAGTGACACCACGACAGAGGACCCCCAATTGCGTGAGAGTCGGTATTGTGTGCAAAATGCGGGTGAACCTAGGGCACAGGGAGCCCCACATGCAGGTATGAAACTTAGTATCATGCGAACTCATGCACAAGCTATGCTTCTGCCAATGAGATGTGGTCCAAAAGTGTGAATGTCCCGGATTCTCACAAGAGAAGAGAATGCCCTTCGACCAGCACAAGGAAAAGAGTTTGCCGCAAAACCCGTACAACAAGTTCTGCTCTTTGACAAAGTTGGACGAAGGCTCCGAAAGGTCGGGGAGTCCATCAGGATGCTCCCCACTGCGCTGTTTGCGATGCGGCACAGGAGGTGATACATGAACATAGCTACAGTTTGGATTCTCAAGCATTTGAGCGACAAGCTCACAAGCTTCTGGGTCTACAAGATCAAGCCGTAGCA